CAGATGGGACAGAGGGACATTGTACAGGAGCCCTGACGTCACAAACGTTCCGGCTTCAAACGCGTGGTGGGAAGAAGAGAGGAGGAAGAGGAGCAAAGGGCACCGCGGATTGTGGCAGCGATTAGTCACAAAGATGCTACGGCCGTGAAGTTGTAACTGAACATGACGAATAACAAAGCAGAAACAAAACTGAAGACCAGTTTATCCAGAAGTGAAGAGGAGAAGGCCAGAGCATGTAGTCTACATGAGCTCAGAATCCTACTGTTTGCACCATTGCTTCAGTAAATTCTAATGTGCACATTCACAAATAACACTGTTTTTTTGTCTTTCTGCTGTTGAGTTACTTTGGAGTGAAAGAATAATGTGAAGCTTCCAGAAAAGCGCTGTATAAAACGCTTCAAAAATGTTTTTTCGTAAGTAATCTTGATTTAAGTAGTGCATTTCACACACCAAGGGTACTCAAAGCACTTAACAATGTTTTAGGAGTTCAGATATATTTCCATTCACTCCACCGACGGTGATGACAGAAGCCGAACAGTCAACACCATCCATTCACTCACTCATTACATCCAGAGGTATTGTACAGGTTTTTAGGGGAAACCGGAGCACCTGGAGGAAACCTACACAGACACTGAAAGGAACATGCAAACTCCACACAGACAGATCTGGAAGTGGAATCGAACCCTTCTTGCTGTGTTAGTGAACCGCGCAAACATTATACGTCACATTTTTTCGTCCTCAGAGCTTCTGGTGCCATTTCAGATCTGTGTAACTTACAACATGAAAATCTGTGGCTTAAATTCAACTGTGTTCTTTTTATGTACAATGTTTAATTTCAAATCTAACTGGTGCAGCAAATAACCAGGGCTTCTCAAACACCCAAAAAGTACGACAAATTAATCTGATTCTGACTTTGTTTCAGGGTGAAAGCGGTGACTCCAATATAAACTCCTCAGTATGTTACAAACAGCTCTCTAATGCATCCGTTTAGAAAGACACACTGGTCACTTCTAGAACTTCCTTAGGCAACAAATGTAATCTATTAATACACTTGGAGCTGCCACAGTAAGTTGTCTCAATCATATGGCATCTTCTTGGTGGCCCCTGCAGATGCATTAGAGCTCATTCCAAACATGTCGCTGATAAATTCGTGGGCAGAACAAGGAGAAATAAAAATACAAGGCGATATAAAATTGGCCTCAGATGTGTATATTGATTCTTTCCAGCGTTTGCATACTCCAGTGAAGCGGAGCTGGCGCCTGCTCTGAGAAACACGCCGTTAATTTGTTGCTGTGAGTATTTTTAGAAGTGACAGAGAGGCCTTTAAAGCGAGCAGCTAAAAGTGTGAGGTGTGCAGAGCAGGGCAACAACACAAACAAGACGGAGCTGACAACAGGAGAGGCTCCGGGGAAGGCGCTAAAGTGGGACAATTATACACCATCCCCCATCGATCTATTTATTCTAGTCTATTTTTTGTATAGAACTGAATCACAGTTTTAGACTTGTTGATTCGCCAACAACAGTTTTAACACAGGAAATGCAACCATAACAAACACAGAGGAACCATTGGTAAATAGGGAGCGGGATGATCATTGTCCAGAAATGCTAATAAATGTCCCGGATCATCACTTTAGACTCTTCTGAATCGGAAAAACAACACAGTGGGAACAAGGGGAGAAGGATCCGCTCCCACTGATGTACAGGCTATAGATCCAGGACTCAGGCTGTAGAACGAGGACTGGACTGTGGACTCCAGTCCTCTGTAAATCCCAGAGGACAGGACTGTAGCTACAGAGAAAGTTTCATATTCTTCACTCTCGGACCAGGTTTTGAAAACATTTGTTCGCAGTCTGCAGATTCACCGTTTCTGTGTGAACCTTTGTCTCTTAGTCTCTCTCTAACAAATGTACTAATGTTTGATCCAAGCTCAGGACATGCAGAAAATTTCTTTTCTTTTTATATATTTTCTTTATTCTTTATTGAGTAATTTGTATAAACCAAGAGTGTTCAAAAAGGGCCGTATAAACTCTTTGTTAAAATGCTTTGTTTGCATGTGGAAATAAACATATTCAAAATCTCAGTTTCTTCCTTCTTCTGTGGTTTGAAACAGGAACTGTTAAAGTTGGCTTTGAATATGAATGCTTTCAAATACATTAATATACATTTTCATTGTTTAATAATCTCTGAGTGGGAACTGTAAAAATGTGACGATTCGATAGAATTGTGTATTTGGGCCACAATTCAATATTGCGTTACAGAAAGTACTACAATCAGATAAAATTATTGCGATTCATGTTCCTGATATTATTCAAAGAAATTACAAGAATTGAGAAAAATAAAACACAAATATCACATGTATTTTGGTCTGTACTTAACTGAAGAACAAACACTTAAAACGGTGGTGCAAAAACGTTATCTTCAGGACAAGACATCATTGATCTCTGAATAGACGACTCTCACATGAACGGTCATCTCTGAACATATGACTTCAATGTTTCAAATACAACAGACTAGAGTCAAAAAAACCAGACATAACGTAACATAAACCTCAGATGGAAACTACCAAGGGAAACTCTGAGAAAACTCTGTCAAAAGTGAAACAGATAATTCAGGTTCAGATGGCCTCTGCTTAACGCATGTTTATTCCGAGCAAATAAGTGCACAAGAAAGAAAGTAGAATATCAAAACTGTGCATAAATAATCCTGAGCTCCATTTACACAACGTGACTGGATAAGAATGTGACGTGATAATGATTTCATTAAATGTTGCATTACTTTGCTATACAGTATCAATTTAATTGTGTGCATAAAATATTGCGAAACTGAAAACAATAGATTTTTTTTCCCCCAACATGAATCATTTCCCATCATGCATGTCCACCACAGTGCGCCCACGTTGTCCAGCGACCACACTGGACTTCTATAGATCTTATTGGCTCTGTCCAAAATAACTCTCTCCCATTCGCGCCTGTATTCTAATTTTCATGAACAACTGGTGCACACACACACACACGTACACACACACGCACACACAAACACACACACGTACACACTGCAGATACCAGCAACCTGCGAGTTTGTCCAACATTCGGGCTAATTGTGCGTAACATTAAATCATTATAGTATTTTCTTACAGCGGAGTCGGTGAAGGGTAAAGTTAGCAGAGTTATGTAACGGCGCTGGCATGTCAAGTATGGCCCCTTCCTCTTTGCTCGCACACCACCGGCTGCATCCGCACACAAAACGCTCCGTGTGGAAATCGTGGAAACTCGTCAGAGAATGATGGATTTACACTGGTTCAAAAGTGCTGATTGTTCAAGATGCAAAACAGAGCCTGGGTGAACGTGGGAGGAATCAAATGCGAAAACTATGTCAAAGTGAAAAAAAGAAAAGAAAAAATATCTATGCATTTTGTGAAGTATAAAAATAAACAAATAATGAAGGGGTAGCTATTGACTGTATTTGAACTTAAGCTAGCCGGAGACAATTTCCTTATATGGGCATTTCTCCCGTGCCGTTAGCTTCACGCTGTAACCATGGATCTAAAATAATAACTGGATAGGGTATTACTAGCTTACAGCTGTCCCATCTATGGGCACAGGGGGCGCCTGTGGTACTGCAGACTAAATCCACGAGGGCTACCCAGAAAAAACTCCCATAGAACTCAATGTAAATTAAAAAAAGCACGACAGAGAACCTACAGCTTTCAAAAAGTTCGGATTTTGTGGGGATTTTAGTGTCCCTTGTCATCCTGAACTATTTTTCTTCTTTAATCCTTCAGTTTTCTTTAAATCCAAACTTTACTGCCAAAAACACTGCAGCATTCCTCCCCGCTCTGACTCCGCTCTACCGCTGACTGATCAGCACGAGGCCCCTCTGTGCACCGAGTTCAGCTAATCTCCCGGTCTCCGTGAAGTCCCATGCGCTACTGAGCACAAGCCATTCATTTGAACAGGCCACCATCTTGGATCACTGGGGCTTGGCTGTAACATGGGAAGACGTGTTGCTAAGACGGTTGCTAAGGCAAGCTCTAGTTCCCCCATGATGTGTTTCCCAGCATTTGATGGATCTTTTCTTTGATAGGGCTCATATTGGGATATAAAAATCGAGAGGAGTTTCCTTTCATTCTAAGTCAATAGGAGCCAGAGCGAGTTGGAGCAAAACTTCTCCCATGAGCACTTCCCTATTGGGTTTCAATGAACGGGTTGGCATTGACAATCTATATGCAGTCTATGGGAATATCTTATAACTTTATCCCAGCTAAAAAAGTTATATTTTGCGAACAAATCAGATCTTACCATTGCAGTCTTCATATTATTAGATCTACATTATCCTTTCTCTGTGACAACTACCTGTCACTAATACTGATGGCTGAGTGAAGGTGCTCCTTTTTTTTGCATTTCTGTCTGAAAAAGCTGATCTAAAAGTATGACAGAGACTAAACTACATGCCTGTAAAAGATAGAAGCAAACTCTTTTGACAGCAAGGTGTTTTTTGTGTTTGAAGTTTTGAAGTTGCTCTAATCCTTCTTGTGAATATGTCTCACAGATGGAACGCAGCAACAAGCAAAGGAGCAGCTACAAAATAAAATATCGGGACACATCTAAAGTAAGATTCAATTCAATTTATATTTGTATAGAAGTTGTTTCGGACTTTACAAAGTTGTCGATTCGCCAACACAGATCAGAGAATCGAATAGGTCGAACACAAAGATTAAAAAACAGAGCCATTCGTTCATAAGGGGCTGATGACCAATGTCTATAAAATGTAAAAAATGGACTCTCCTGCATCGACGAGGAACAACAACAAGGAGCAACTTCAGTAAGAATACATAACATTCAAGCCTCCGTAGACAGATAGAAATGTGGTTTCTAATTACTGTTCCAACGATTGAGTAATGAGCCAAAGTTGCAAGACTCCTTTGAAAGCCCCCTCTGCTCAATCGGATAAAGATAAGGAGTTTGGGAGCAAAGACGAAATTGAGTTCGGTTGAGATTTACCTGTGAGAGAAGACGACACACGCAGAGTGTAGGGGGCGGGGCCTGAGCTCCTGACTACATCATGGCTCCATCAGCAGAAACCTGAAGATCAAAGATTACATATTATGTCTGGTTAAAACTATCATCTTACATAAACCGGTTGAGGAGTGATGTCACATGATCATGAGAGAATTTTTAGTACATGTGTGTGTAGTTGTATGGGCTGCACAAATAGACGAAATTTCCCAGTGTTTCAGCAGGTCTAATCTCTGTGAAGTCAATGGTACCAGAGAAGAATGCGAGTGGAGGATTCTGACAAGCTGATCCAAATTCACTAAAAGTTTAAAGTGGGGAAAGCGGTCTGGTTTGGTTTCATCATCACTGTGAACAATGTCCAAAAAGAAACGTTAACATTTAAAGCTGTGTTGGACCCTCCTTGCAGATAAAACAGTACTGTCTATAAATCTTGGCATTCAGTCTGCTGCAAGATAGAATATTTCTCACATCTCTGGATGAAATGCCAAGATTTTAGTGAGTCGCTCGGAGCGACTCGCTCCGAGCTTCTGCCCTCCAGGTTTACTGCACATAAACATTCAGCAGGTTTATAGACAACAATCCCTGACTTACAGGATCGCCAACCAGGTTTTAACTTTCATAAACATTTTCACATGCAAACCGTAAAAAGGACATTTTGAGGGAAAAATTAAATTCATATTAATATTTTACATGGGTTGTTCTATTTGGGGATAGTTGATGCATTATAGCAGCTGTTACCGAACTTATTTGTTGGAAATATTTGTTTTTTTTAATTAAAAATCTTTAGGGTAATTTGTTAATCCAACATCCACAAAACATGATACATTCACTGTAGTGTTTTTAAATTGAGTGAGGGCTTTAATTAACGATTATTTTGATAATTTATTAGTTGTTTGGATCCTGAAAGATCAAGAAATATGTTTTTTTTTTTTACATCAAAACAAAGCTGCAGTGATGCCCCTGGAGACCTTCACACAGACAACTTGATACAATTTGGCTTGTTTGAATGAAAATACTTAAACATTTTCATTTCATTTTGTGGTCATTATAAAATTATCTCAGTCATAAAACATCTTCTCAGCATGTGGAAGGGTCAAAAAACAATTACTCAAGTAGTTGACCATTTCTATAGTTGATTATAGTTTTTTTTTTTTGTGGTTCCTTGCCGACAGTAATGATCCAAGACATTTATTAACATTTCTGGACAGTGGTCACCCCAGAATGGAAAACCTTTAAAAAACAGCTGTTGTGATCTATGGCTATACACATACATTGAATTGATTTTTTAACTAAAACTACTGTCAAATTACACAAAAGCACAAAATATCCAGTCATCAGCAATCTCCACCAGTTCCTCTTTTGGTGAGTCATTTTCAGAAATCTAGATTTTTGTAAAAACGCTGATACAGCTTCCAGAAAGCGACACACTGAGGTTCAATTCCAGTGCTAATATCCAGGAACAATAGTTTTATGCCCCCATTCTTGACAAGAGCCTGTCATCTGCCAGTTGTCTTCATTATTCGGTGAAAAAGGCTTGTCCCACGAGGAGTACAAATGTTTAACCCGAAACACAGCCACAACTTTTTATCTAATCAGTAAAAGAGAAGTGAAACGATGTCAGGCTCTGATTTACTCAACATTAAGGACTTTCTGACTCATTTAAGTAAGTAAGTTAGTAATCTTCATGTGTATGGCGCCTTTAAATTACAACATAAAAGAGAAATAACTGAAATGAGAAATCTAATTGGACAAAACACGCTATCTGTAGAAATACAGCAACTATATTTTCTAGCAGCTTAAAGGAGAGAGTACGTCATCAGCAAACATTCAGTTGGAGACACCTCTCTTTTGCCAAACTGTGAAAGACTAAAACCACAGTTTGGGCCGCTCTATATGATAAGATTATATATATATATATATATATATATATTATATATTTGCCTCATCATATTTTCCTTTGAGAAAATCTTGTGCGTGTTTAAAATCTTGTGCATGTTAAAATGAAGAACTGAAAAAGATGTATTTGTTTGTTTGGAAATAGAATCTTATAGAATCTAGATACCCTAAAGCAGTGTCTCCCAAAGTGGGGTCCGCGGCCCCCTGGTGGGCCGCGAAGGTACTGCAGGGGGGCCGCGGGAGGTCAAAAAATAAAATAAAAAAAATAATATAATTATTTAATGTTAAATTTATAATGTTTTGTTTGTAATATTAAAATATTTGTGTTCATTATTTGACTTGAATAATCCACTGTAATCATTTTTGTATTACAATGTTTGTAGCAGAGGCTATTTCCCCAAAATAAAATAACCAGAAGAGCCTATTCTTAATGTTGTCTTCTTGGTTATTATTTTGGGGGGCCACGCAGACCCGTCAGATTTTTAAGGGGGCCTCGGTGTTACTGAGTTTGGGAATGGCTGCCCTAAAGAATAGAATCTTTAGGGTATCTTGTTTAGCAAAAAATCAATCTAACACATGCAAAATATGAGAAATTCACTGTAGTGTTTTTAAATCGAGTGAGGGCTGTAATTAACGATTAGCTTGATACATTATTTGTTGTTTAGATCCTGAAAGGGATTTTGTATACATCAAAATGAGGCTGCAGTGATGCCCCTGGAGAACTTCCCACGGACAACTTGATGCACTTTGGGTTGTTTGAGTAAAAAATACTTTGTAAATACATTTTCATTTCAGTCTGTGGTCCTTATAGAATTATCTGAGTTGTAAAACTTGGATATTTTGTTACAGCATGAACAGCAAGTGAAATTCTGTGGTCCCTCGCTTTAATGTTTGTCTGAAATGTTGCATGTTTGTTTCTCATGCTCTGCGCGTCTACTCCAACAACATCATAAACAACATGATAAAATCGGTAGTTTAACATGACATTTACCTTTATTTAATCAAAGTTAGAAGAACACTTTTGTGGCTTGTGCATTAGTTCAGAGGACTCTCGCTCCGGTCTCTCTCTCTCCGATGTCACGCTCTGGTCTCGCTCTGGTCTCTCGCTCTGGTCTCTCGCTCTGGTCTCTCGCTCTGGTCTCTCGCTCTGGTCTCTCGCTCTGGTCTCTCGCTCTGGTCTCTCGCTCTGGTCTCTCGCTCTGGTCTCTCGCTCTGGTCTCTCGCTCTGGTCTCTCGCTCTGGTCTCTCGCTCTGGTCTCTCGCTCTGGTCTCTCGCTCTGGTCTCTCGCTCTGGTCTCTCGCTCTGGTCTCTCGCTCTGGTCTCTCGCTCTGGTCTCTCGCTCTGGTCTCTCGCTCTGGTCTCCCGCTCTGGTCTCCCGCTCTGGTCTCTCGCTCTGGTCTCTCGCTCTGGTCTCTCGCTCTGGTCTCTCGCTCTGGTCTCCCGCTCTGGTCTCTCGCTCTGGTCTCTCGCTCTGGTCTCTCGCTCTGGTCTCTCGCTCTGGTCTCTCGCTCTGGTCTCTCGCTCTGGTCTCTCGCTCTGGTCTGCCTGTCTGGTCTGCCTCTCTGGTCTGCCTCTCTGGTCTCTCCCCCTCTGGTCTCTACCCCTCTGGTCTCTCCCCCTCTGGTCTCCCTCGCTGGTCTCTCTCTCTCTGGTCTCTCTCTCTCTGGTCTCTCTCTCTCTGGTCTCTCTCTCTCTGGTCTCTCTCTCTCTGGTCTCTCTCTCTCTGGTCTCTCTCTCTCTCTCTCTGATCTCTCGCTCTCTCTGATCTCTCTCTCTCTGGTATCTCTCTCTGGTCTTCCCCTTAGCCCTCAGTCCAGCTCCTGCCCATCAGCGTGGTCTCCTCTGCAGCTGTATTTTACACTGTATGCACATCTTTTGACAGCTGCAGCAGCACTCAGACCTACAACCAACAGGTTTGATATCTTTGCGATCGCACTTCAGCCGTCGTGAGTTCAGGTCGTTAGAAAAGTATACAACAAATACAGCTACTACTTTGAGGATTTCACTTATTGTGCATTATTTTACAAACATAACCCCTGCAATAAACCAGGAAAAAAATCTATAACCAATTCTAGATCTAGAGTTTGGAGACTCAACTAACTTCCCAAATGGACAAACAAGGTCTAAATCAAACAGATACAGACTCAACATGATATAAACAAGCCAAGCATCCAACCAGGAAACGTTAAATATTAAAATCAAATGGCTTACCAAATCATATCAGCCAGCCCAATGTTGACATACTATATCCAAGTGAAATTAGAATTAACAATGCCAAAATATTGTCTCGGTTTTGATTTCCAGTCAAGAGTTGATCTTAAATAAGCTCCTGATCCGTTGTGCGTATCTGCCTCGGTGTCAGTGGCTTCCCTTCCACTGTATTAGCCTGAGCACTGCTGCACTTGGCAACAGAAGAGAGGTCTGTGTGTCCAGCAAAGACTTTTCTATTTGACTCTGACCCCTCCCCATGCGCCCTGCCCTCCGCTGACCATGCAGGCACACAAACACCACGGCCGTAACAAGCAGAAGTGGGAGAGACTGTACGAGGAGAGGAGCAACATGTCAAAGAAAGTTTGGAATACATGTTTTACAAGTATCTCAGATCCAATGCAAGCACAGAAAAATGTACCAAAAGTCATGTGGAAAAAGACTGGGGAATGAATGAAGCTGGGGTACGGAAGTTGCTACTACCGACTGAAAGAAAATGTGAGAAGTTTGTGAACAAATCAGGCCACAACATGCCGTTTTTATCTTATGAGAAAACATTCTATATAGATAAAAACGAAGGAAGGTAGCTAACCCATTTCTGTATTTCAGTTAACGTCGGAAAAACCTGCCAACTGAAGTACAGATGATGGGTGAGCAATTTTTCTCTGTTTTGAATAATTCCTGTACGACCGAGAGTTTACACAAACAAACTCTATATATATACTACAACATAGCCTAGTGACTATTTGGCATCATTGCTTCAAAACTTACTATTCTCAAATTTCTTAAACATGAAGTTAAAGTTTCTGCATTTACAGCTTCTGGTTTGCTTGAAACAGGTTCACCAACTCCATTATTTGAAAGCACAACAGAATCTGTG